GGGGGGGGGGAGTCTGGGAACCCCTTTGGAACTTTTCTTTGGTCATTAGCATCCCAATTAGAAGCCGGGAAAGATAATGGAAGGCTGGCTGGGGATTACAGCTTACTTGGGACTGGACTCCTGCCCCATCAATGGGCATCCTGTTTGTCATTCCTAATTAATTTTCTGTTTTAAATTAAGTTGCAGGGTGAGGAGGCTGCAAACCACCCCTCCCACCCCAAAAGCCCATGAAGACACACCAGGTGCAGGAGTGCCAGGCGGGCAGAGAAGGGTCCCTGGGCACCTGGAGCTGACCACATGCCATCCCACGGGGCAACAGGCCCTTTCCAGGGTAAAGTGGCCTGATGCTTTCTTTCCTGGAGGTCAGTCCCCTTTTTGAGGCTGGATCTCTGTCCAGTCTGTGTTAAAGCTAAAGAACCCCAGGGAGGTGGGGAAACAGGGGTCCTGGTGGTGCCCATAATGCACAGCGGACATCCAGACGCACCAGTGGATACACAGGTCCTCCCCCCCCCCGCACCCCAGGCATGAGATGACTAGCCATCCTTTTTGCACTGGTGAAAATGAGGTCTCATTTTGCACCTATATATACATATAAATTAGCACGTACAATCTTATGCACCAGGTGCCCCTCTAGCACCTTGGCAGGAGCGGGGGGGGGGAGGCTGAGCAAATAGTCCTGGCATGGGGGTGGGTTGTTCCTGGGAGCTGTGGCCTCTAAAGGCAAGGGCTTTTCTGAGGAGCCCCTCCTCTTCTCCCATCCCCCTTAGGCCCATCCCGCCAACATCTCTCCCTTACAGGAACAAGGCACCCTTCGGCCCAGAAGGCTCCACCAGGGTCACCGGGGGGGTGGGGGGGAGGTTCCTCTTGGGTCCTTTCAGTGCCACACCATTTCTGGCATTTTTGGGAGCCCATAGGCAGCCCCAGATCTGAGCAGATGGGGATGGACTGCCCCTGGTTTTAAGGGAGAGGGACGCACCCCTCCCTGCCCCCCTGCCCCCCCCCCGGCCAGACCATGGGCTGCTCAAGCCAGAGCCTCTCAGCCAGCATAACCTGAGCCTAGGAATGTGTTGCCACTTTCTTTATTTCCAGCATTTCCTTCCCACCTTTTTCAACAAAAATGTCCTTATGGAACAATAACAGCGCCGTGTAAGCAATCACAAGGAGGCAGGAGGCAGCGCACCGTCCGTCGTCAGGAAACCACCCTGTTTTGCTGGGATGGAGGGGAACGTAGCTCTAAGAAATGGCTGGGCCCCCCCTTCATTGACAGGCGGACGCCCCGTCCCAAGGGCAGCCCTTTGGGGGCCCCTTTTTTGCACCTGCTCCAGTTGAACCGTATTCACCTTCACCCCTCATGTGATCGGAAATGGGACATAGCTGGGCTAAGAAGAGGGAGGCCAGGCTAACGCCCCCTCTCCTCCCCACCACAACCACTAGGCAAGGTTGCCCTTGGCCTCACTGCCTTGAAAGCCTACTCCCAGACACCCAATCCACAAAATGCAGTGGCGGGGGGGGGGGTTCAGATCTGCTGCCAGGGAGGGGCATTGTCAAGGCTGATGGTCCCTGATGGGCCGGGATAAGCCATCCCCTGCCCCTCCCCCTTCTCATTAGCACCTCATCATCCCAACCATCCTCAGGAATCCCAGGTCGTCTTTCCAAGGGAGGTGGGGGGTGGGCTGGGAGTAGCAAGATTACTGCCTTAATGTCCCTGAATCACTTTGATCCTGCAAATGGTCCCACATAAATATACCTGGGGGGAGGGGTTGGGGCAGGGAGGAGGATGCAGCTATTACAGATTCCCCACTCACACACCTTCTGTTTTTTCAGGTGGGGTGGGGGCTTCAGGCTTTGCCTTCCAAATGAAGTCAAATGGAAGAATAAGAGTGGAGTTCCCCAAGTGAAATTAGGGATCCTTCTTCAAACTGCGGGATGTGCAAGCTTCCAGTCTTCACAGAGCTCCTCCTCAAGCCACGTGTTTGCCAGCTGAGCCTCCTCTGCCCAAACGTGCCCCTTGCTGCCCCTCGGCCTCTTTGGAGGAGGTTGCTGACCACTTAATGGCCAGACAGAGGGGGAGCCCCTCTTAAAAACGTCTTAGTAACCCACCCCACAATTCATCCAGGTTCAAGGACAGAGGATGTTTTGTTTGCTCTCCTCTTGTTATTTTGTAACAACAAAACATCTTTAAAAGCTCCAAAAATGGCTTACAGAAGATGAGCCCAGTCCAAAATGAAACTGTGCAGTGTTACTGCCGCTGGTCAGGCCACCCTGCCTCACTGCAGGTAGGGTGGCCAGCTGGAACAAGGGGTGTGTGTGTGTGTGTTGGCTGTCCAGTTGCCTTTCCTGGAGATGGCAGGTGGGGGCTTCATCCCAGGGACTCCGCCAGAGAAGCCCCCAATTCTGGAAGGCCCTTCCTCTCCCCCAGGACCGTGGAAAGGGTGACGGGTGCCCAGGGCTCCCTTCTGTTTCCGACAGGGCTCTCACTGCAGCCCCCACACAGACGCCATGGCGTCCTTCTGGGCCGTCTTCCGGAGAGTCCGGCTTTGCAGGAGCGCTGGTTCTTCCTGGAGGAGGGATTTCAAAGCTGGCACCGGGGGACTCCTCTTTGATGCCTTGGCCATTGGCTGGGGTGTGTGTATCCTCTCCCTCATGCCATTTAACACATGGAGGAAACCACTGGGGGGAGAGGGCTTGGAGTCTGGGGATTCAGCACCATCAATAGACTCCGTCTCTCCTTTCCATTGGATTCCAAGGAGTTCTTCTGACCCTAAAATAGGGTATGGTGTCAGTAACAGAGTGGATTCTGCCAACAAAGGCCCGCATAGTCAAAGTAGCGATGTATGGGAGTGAGACCTGGACCATAAAGAAGGCTGACCGCCGAAGAATTGATGCCTTTGAATTGTGGTGCTGGAGGAGGCTCTTGAGAGTCCCCTGGACTGCAAGGAGAATAAACCTATCCATTCTGAAGGAAATCAACCCTAAGTGCTCCCTGGAAGGAGAGATCCTGAAGCTGAGGCTCCAATACTTTGGCCATCTCATGAGAAGAGAAGACTCCTTGGAAAAGACCCTGATGTTGGGAAAGTGTGAAGGCAAGAGGAGAAGGGGACGACAGAGGATGAGATGGTTGGACAGTGTCATTAAAGCAACCAACATGAACCTGACCCAACTCCGGGAGGCAGTGGAAGATAGGAGGGCCTGGCGGGTGCTCTGGTCCATGGGGTCACGAAGAGTCGGACACAACTTGACTTAAGAACAACAGGGTGGATGAGGCTTTTAAAAAAGGAAACTTGATCCAGACAAGACAGAGGTGCTCCTGGTCAGTCATAGGGGACACAGCCTGTGCTCAATGGGGTGAAAAACACAGCCTTGCATCTTGGGGGTGCTTCTGGATTCATCTCTGGGCTGGGATGCCTAGGTTTCTGCAATGGCCAGGACTGCCTTTGCACAGTTAAAACTAGTATGCCAACTGTATGCCAGCTGTGCCCATGCCAGGAAAGGTATTTTCTGATCATGGTGACACATGCCTTCATTAAATCCGATTTGGATTACTGCCATGCCTTCTATGTGGGGCTGCCCTTGGAGACTGTCCAGAAACTTCAACTGATCCTAAACAGCGCAGCCGGGCCCCCACTGGACACAACCAGCAGCTCTGGTTACCACTTTGTTTCTAGGCCCAGTTAAAAGGGCTGCTTTGGCTTTCCAACGCCCTTTATGTCTGGGGTCCAGAAAGACCCTAACCTATGAGCCACCTCCACGGATTAGTCTGGTGGGGACACCAGCGAGGGAGACATGGGGGAGGGCTTTTTCAGCAGCTGCTCCCAAAGGATGGAATAGCCTTCCTCTGGAGCCCCCCCCCCCCCGTTTGCTATCTTTCCACCACCAGGCAAAAACACCGTAAGCAGGCGTGTGCCCTTCTGCATTCGGTTACTTTGCAGGATAGTGGCAGATAGTTGCAGGGGGTGTTTTTTTGGGGGGGATATTTGCAGATGTTTTACTGTTCCCACAGATTTACTGGGTTCCTATTTACTTAATCACTTTTGAGTGGCCTGTTTATTCTGTTTTATATGCTTGTTTAAAATGTCGCAAATGACCCCAAGAGATGCAGATTGGCAGAGGGGGACTCCGGAGACCTGGCCTCCCGTCCTGGCCCAGCCAAGCCATGGATATTTATTGGGGGTGGAGAGAAAGAGAGGAGTGGCACTAACAAAACCAGGCGCACACACACCTTGGAAACCCTGTTTGGGTTGCCATGCACTGGGTGTGACTGGAAGATGGATAACCTTGCGGTGATGTTCCTCTTTTGGTGCCAAACGGCTAACTGGCATGGGGCACGGTGGTGGTTCGAGGCCTTTTGCTCAGTGATCGAACTTTGCTTGCTCTACTCCTTCCTTGGTTTGGCTCCCACGGGTAGCCTCCGGGAAGCACAGAAATGCCCCCCCCAGCCCACATCCCACCATGGCCCCCCTCCCAGGCCAATTACTGAGCCCCTCTGCCCCCCATTAGTGATGTGTGTTTGACTAATGGGATACTCTTTAAAAGCTGGGGATTTTCACCCACTGGTAACTACACGGGAAATCTCACACCAGTTAGCGAGGGAAGCTCAGCTGCCAGCACCTCTGGGCTGAGATCCGGGAGGGAGTCGCGCGCTTCCTGCAGGACAGCAGGGCTGGTTCCTGTCCCACCTGTTGGAGAG